GAGGTAGAGAGCTTGAAGGTAGCATTCTGACTTGGAGGATGATCACAAGTGATACATTGCATGCAACAAAGTCCACATAATGTGACTGAACTTTTTTCCAAATTCAAAAATACTATTGGGATGGATATTTTGTGCTTCACTCTGCCAAGGTAATGTCTGTTTTGGCAGGTGGTGGCCACAATTTCCAGGTAGCATATGGAAGCTTTAGACATTAATTAAGTGCTGGTAGTTTGTCCACGTCTGCAGGGGTGGCAAAATATTGGCTTTCATGAGTTATGGTAGCATAGTCTAGCATTTTAGGTCTTGTCTTCCTGATGAAGCAAACTTCCATCAGTTTTTTATGACAAACTTCATGAAAAAGTTCGAAGAAACATTTTTGCAATCATTTACTCCTAGAGTTTGTCCATCCTCCTTGCACATGCTTTTGTGCTGGAATCTCTCACTTTAGCATGGTCTGCACATCTGACTTCAATTCTGTATTGGATTAATTAAGCTGTCAGTGAACCAATTTTCTGGTTTCCATTTCCAAATCCACAATTGACATATAAACATGTTGATAAGTATGTTAACTATCATTCAGCATGTACAGCAATTGGTTTTTAAATTATTAAGCATTACCATAAAGAAATAGAGAATGGATTTCTGAGGAACCACTGGCTCAATAATATTCTATAAATCTTACAGGCTTTGCTACTATCAGAGAAGCAGGTTACAGAAGAGGCTAGAAAGGCTTTTACAGATGCTGAGAGTAAGAATGCAGTGCTGGTTACAAAACTTGAAGACACAGAGCGAAAAGTAGATCAGCTTCAAGATTCTGTGCAGAGGTTTGTTAACACAATATTAAAGATACAACTACTAGAATATTCACCTCATATCATTACAATAAATTAACATGTGGAAAACAATCAGCACTCTTCTGTTTGTTTAACATTTATTTTCTAGTTATCTGAATACAACTGTAATAAGATAAATACCAGCAAGCACACCTATTATGGTAGTTTACTGTCCTGTGCTTGGTTCTGACTGCATAAGTTTGCCATCACACAACTTATTCCAGAAAATGACCTCTTCTTGCCTCTCATCTTCCTATGTTTACAACACATGTACATGCTTACTACGTGAATCTCTTTCTCTCTTTCATATATGCCTTTATGCATTCTTTGTTTTACTTGTTATTAGTAGAACCTTTTTGACCTTTTTTTCTTGTCTGCATCAGGCTTGAGGAAAAACTTTCTAATAGTGAGTCGGAGAATCAAGTACTTCGTCAGCAAGCACTGACCATATCACCAACTGGAAAAGCTTTATCTGCACGACCAAAAACAACAATTATTCATGTAAGGATGACATATTAGGCCATTTCATTCTAATACTAGTTTGTAGAGATATTCTTAGTACTTCTTAATAAAATTGCAGAGAACTCCGGAGAATGGAAATGTGCTGAATGGAGAAACAAAATTTGCACCTGTAAGAAGATTTTTGTTACTTTCACCTTTTTGAGAAACAAACAACTGCCTAATTGAAATACGATTGTTGAGGTTGATAATGCCAGGAATTTTGTGTTACTTATGGTCTGTTACATGTTAGCAGGACATGACTCTTGCTGTATCAAATCCACGGGAGCCTGAATCTGAAGAAAAACCACAGAAATCCCTTAATGAAAAGCAGCAGGTTAGTAGCCATTGGCATGGAAAGAAGCAAAGTTGTACCTATTTTATATTTCCTATTTGAAATGCTAAAATTATTTTCGGTTTCTGAATTGCTTTGCTGCAATCTGCAAATCCTGTACAGGAGAACCAAGATCTACTGATCAAGTGTATTTCACAAGATTTAGGGTTTTCTGGAGGCAAACCTGTTGCTGCTTGTGTCATATACAAATGCCTTCTCCACTGGAGGTCATTTGAAGTTGAAAGAACTAGTGTGTTTGACCGTATAATCCAGACTATAGCTTCAGCCATAGAGGTAACTGATATCTTCCGGATTATGTTGACCTATTTCTTAGTTGATTGTTGTCACATTCAGCAATTCTATTATACCACACTCTCGGCGTCTGCTTGAGGAAATTAAGTTATGTTTGATGGTATTCTGTCCTCGCGCGTGTAAATTCACAGCTTGAATATTGCTTGCTTTGGAAACATGTATGATGTTGAAGGTCCAGGATAATAATGACATGTTAGCTTACTGGTTGTGCAATACGTCCACATTGTTGATGCTACTCCAACACACACTCAAAGCAAGTGGAGCAGCTAGCTTGACTCCACAACGCCGGAGATCATCATCAGCTTCTCTCTTCGGGAGGATGTCCCAAGTATGGGCCAACCATTTACATATACTACCAGATTTTCCTGGCAAGACACCAATATGCATTTTGTCTTGTCCCCCTTTTGCTTCTTTTATTTTCTTGATATATATATATTTGTATTCTAGGGATTGCGAGCATCTCCACAGAGTGCTGGGCTCTCATTTCTCAATGGTCGAGTGCTTGGTAGATTGGACGACTTACGTCAAGTTGAGGCAAAATATCCAGCTTTGCTGTTTAAACAACAGCTTACTGCTTTCCTTGAGAAAATATATGGAATGATAAGAGACAATTTAAAGAAAGAAATTTCCCCATTGCTTGGGTTATGTATTCAGGTATATACTTCATTACTTTATCATACATGTTGAGATGGTTATGACTTGCATAGCAAAGCAAAAGGAACATTATATTTGTAGTTGATGTATAATTGTCTTGCAATCCCAAAAGGAAGGGCCAAAACAAAATTATCCTTTTCTGATAGTTTATGAACAATGAATGTAATACATACAAAACTTGCTTTGCATTTGCATGTCAATGACACAGGAGTAGGACTGATTATACATACTGGCCAAAGCTGTAATCATGAGTGTCTCAAAGACCATAGACTTTCTATTTTTTTTTTTCTCTTTACAAACAAGAAGTGTGAATCTTTTGAAAATGTTACAACTTGCCTCAAACCCTTTTCAAGTAGCTTCTCCAAATATATGCATTATGCTCACCGTCCTGTGTGGACAGTTACATAACATTTTGTAATACTTTTTCTTGGGATTTTAAAGCATGCACCCTCAAAGATGTTGGATAACACAATGGATACTTTGATGGAGCACCTTGTGGGGTAATAGTTAGCAATCTCTACCTGGTTCAATGCAGGCACCTAGGACATCTCGTGCTGGTTTGATAAAGGGGCGTTCACAAGCTAATGCTGTTGCTCAACAAACTCTGATCGCTCATTGGCAGAGCATTGTGAAAAGCCTAAATAATTACTTGAAGACAATGAAAGCAAACTATGTGAGTTCTAAATAATTGCTTAAGTTTTTCTTCTTTTTGTTTCCCACTTGATCCTTGTGGGAATTGAAGGAATGTTATTGATCTTCTACTATTGCAACATTACAGGCTCCCCCCTTCTTAGTTCACAAAGTGTTCACTCAAATATTTTCATTTGTCAATGTTCAGCTATTTAACAGGTAATTTGCTTAAGACCTCTATATGTATCTGCTTGTTTTGCAGTCCGCTGATTTGATTTATAACTTTTTTCCTTAATACATTTCTGCAGTCTTCTTTTGCGACGTGAATGTTGCTCATTCAGTAACGGAGAGTATGTAAAAGCAGGGTTGGGCGAATTAGAGCAATGGTGTTGCTATGCAACTGAGGAAGTAAGCTCCCCACAGCAGAATAATCTTATTTTCTGTGGTAACGTTAATGTCTTTAACAAACATCTTTTTTTTGTTCAGTATGTAGGCTCAGCTTGGGATGAATTGAAGCATATTAGACAGGCTGTTGGATTCCTAGTAAGATTTTGTTTCATTGGCTTGTCTGCATGGTAGATTGTGTAATTGTAATTTTGTTTTCTGAACTACATAATTCTCCCAATGTCTTCACAACTCAGGTTATACATCAAAAACCCAAAAAGACTTTGAATGAGATAACGAATGAACTGTGCCCTGTGAGTATTTTTCCATTTTAGCTGAATGTTCTTTTTAAATTGTGGCTTCTTTCTTTTTTCAAAACTTTTATTTTTTTATTTTTTGTAATTTTTTTCATGTTTTGACTTTTGTTTGATGCTTCATTAGGTGCTCAGCATTCAACAATTATACAGGATCAGTACTATGTACTGGGATGACAAATATGGCACCCACAGTGTATCTTCAGATGTAAGTTAACTTAAACTGCACTGTGGAATGCTCGACTTTGACCAACTATTTGTTTATCCCTGTGTATTCGTTTGGTATATTCCTCGAACGTGTGATTTCTAGCTTTGACTTGGTTTTCCTTATATGAAATTCTTACTATTTTCCCGAATAATACAGGTTATTTCGAGTATGAGGGTTCTGATGACAGAGGACTCTAACAGTGCTGTTAGCAGTTCGTTTTTATTGGATGATGACTCGAGGTAATCTTTTTCAATACCTTCTCATGATATTAGTTATGGTTGTTCAGGTATTTGGGATATTATAACCTATCGATTTGATACTGATGTTTTACTGTTCTGCCTTAATTGAATGTCAATGCAGCATCCCATTCTCTGTGGATGACATATCCAAGTCAATGCAACAAGTAGACATAGCTGATATTGAACCTCCGCCATTAATCCGTGAAAACTCTGGGTTTGTATTTTTACATGGACGCTCGGAATGATGAATGGTCATGGCGTGCGATGCTTGAATCCTATCTCCAGCCCCAATACGGCTGGTTCTGCTCGTCAATTGATGTGTGGAAACCTGTGCATAGAAAACCTCATTGTCCATTGAGTCATGTGTTACTGTATATTTTTTGTATTCACTCGGGCAACCTATATTATTTCTCGGTTGTTCGAGTCAATTCATTTTTCCCCCTCTGTGTCCCATCAACACAAGAGGCATTCATTAGGAGGTGTTTGGCTATTCGTGTGATGTTGTGCATTGGTTTTCCTGTTGGTGTTTGTTGGGCTTGCAAGAGTGTAGTCTATGGCAAAAGTTGCAATTTTTAGGTCTATATTTGTACTAGTGGGAAGTACATGCGTTTTATTTCTTTCTTTTAAATGGGAAGTAAATGTATTTACTATTTAGGGTAATCTATTAGTTTGAAAATCATAGTTGAAGTGTCTACACTGTAAATGACTGAATTTTTTTCCTCCTATAGTTGGAAATTGAAAAGAAAGTTTCAATATTGGCTTTTACATATCATCAAGCATTATTGAGTCTGACAACAGGTTATGACACAGTGGTAAGCTCGTTATATCGTGACTTGGGTATCAAGGATTAAGTCAAGGAATTAGTCTTTTGACATGTAGGGATACCATTGCATACACAGTACATCTCATTCCATGAGACTGCGAGACATCTCGTGTAGTGGATTGCTAATGCAGAAGATAATTGATGGAAATGAAGGAGGGTTTATATTCAATAGGGTGCTTGTTAACAGAAATCAGAGGCCAATTGATGCAAACGGTTGCAGGCTTGCAGCTAACCGGATGTTTCTGCACAAAATCTAGTGCTGGAAACTTCAGATCAGCATATTGATCAAGAAGCCAACATTAAACAGCAATTTGCTGCAATCGATGTTACGAGACAAGAATCGGGTATTTTGCTCAAACTAAGGATCAAAAATTTGTTTTGGTGCTTAAAAATGGAAATAAGAATGAAATAAATAAAAAATTTAAAAATTTGTTTCCAAAACTTTGGTTAAAACAACCGAAATAGTCTGAATCACAAGTCAAAATACCTTGAAACATAAAAATTTTGATATTGAATTAATAATCTGTTTTGGTTTCCATAGAATCGGAAACATTCGACCGTTTCGAAATAAAATTCCTTTGTCTCAGACAAATAAAAATTTCTGCACAGACGAGATTCAGAACGATCGTATGCCATCACATTCTATCATGCTACAATTTCTTACATTGACATCACTATTAAAATCAGATTCTCAACAAAGCATTTCAGAAACAGTTATTTGGAGTACTAAAACACCTGTTGAAAAAAAAAAAAGTACTGAAACACCTGAACATGGAAACTTTGTTTCAGATCTCCTTACACTTTCTACAAGTTTCAACCTACCACACAAACGGGACAACCATTATCACTGATTTGAAAACAACTACCAACTTCAACAGCAAAGAATCAAATCAATTTTGATGTCCCTTCCCATGGGATACGAAACTCTGTTTCTAAGACATTACTTGTAAACAGCTGTAAAGATTCAAACTTGTCTCGACAGTGAGACAGAATTTGTTGTTTTCATTGAATTTCCAGCGCAACTGAAGACTGGTCTACCTGAGTTTGTATGGAGTCTATGGAGTATTGGCTCATACTATGTTCCCATTGCATTTTCCGGCCCAACTGACTGATCTTCCTGAGTACTGACTATAGGCTGCTGCATTTCTGTTTTTTTCTTCTCCTTGAGAACCACTTGCCTAGGCATCACTTCCAGTAAAAAGCTTCCTCCATTCCATATGGCTGCAGAAACCTTGAGTATTTGGAAAATAAGATGTAATTTGTACGACAAAAATATGGGGACCGTGAGTGCCATGGTTGCCACAGAGAAGATGGCTTGGAGAAGAATATACATAAACATCCTATTCTGCTCCCCAAGCAAACCACTTAAACGCCACCATACATTGTTTGCCTTTTGTGCTTTCTTTGAGAGTTCCCTATCAAACCAAGTAGCTGTTAGAATAACTAGCAATGCAAGTGGAACCAAACATGGACTTAGAAAATGAGAGCGCAATCCATGAACATGTCTTTATGACCAATTAAATTAATTTTCTACTTTTTTTTCTCTTGGCTCTGTTTTGGCAGGCAAGCATGAGTTTTGATAAACAAAATGGAAGCACAAATCCACAACGTAATATATACCCTGTGTAATGATAATTGCGCAAAAGAGCACCCCAGCTCAAGACACAAATACAAAAAGTCTCGAAGATATAAGATATCCTCTAAAAGTGTACAACAGTTGGAATTGTCAGCTGATATTTAAGTGACAAAGCTACAATTTGATATGTGTGTTCAGCAATTATTTATCCTCGAGGTTCAAATGTTAGATCAGAAAAAATCTCATGGGGGTGCATGAACATGGCACTGTGCTTAGATTTCTATCCAACTGTCAAGTCGCCATTTTTGTACAGAAATGGCATCTTGTCAGAGGACAACTTCTCCATACTAAACTTCCATTTTCACAAAAATGTGGTTTGGTTTAGAAGGATAGAATAGATATTGGAAAGAAAAAAGTGAGAACCTGTAAGATGTCATGACTTCGGGATCTCTTAACAGCCTCTGTCGACGAAGGACATTTACAATGAGAAAATAGAGAACCTGCCAAAGGCTGTAAGCAATTAAAGGAACTAGAAATAGCCATGTCCACAGATAAGATTTGCTTTCTACATAAGGCCATGACACTCTCTGAGCAGTTCCTTCTGGATGCATGGCTGCAAAGAATGTTGGATCCCACCATCGAATTGTAAAAAAAACCAACCCTAAGTTAAAAAAAAAAACAATAAAAAAAATTAGGTGCCATGGTTTCAGTTGATAACTGACTAACATGGTTATATGTGAAGTCTACATGAAATGCAGAGAGATATTTACATGAACTTTGAACAACGAAAAATGCATTCTGTAATTTACACAATTTCCAGAAACATTGGGAAGTAAATGACCATTGTTTTGGTAATTCCAACAAATTCAAATTCATAACTCAAAAAACTCGTAAGGAAAAAAAAAAAAACTGGAAGAAAGAATCTCTCATGATGTTGACTACAGTACTGCTGGAAATTCTGCAAGACAATTAGTAATTGAACTTGACTTCAACTGATACCAGCCCATAAATTCAAAGGGATTTGTATCCTCAATCTAGTGAAGCAATAGCATAAAAGGAATCTAAGAAACTGTCTCCAACAGTAGAAGTATACTCCATCTGTCAGCGGAATTAATTAAAGTTTGGGAGCATAATTTACACTACTTTCCAGAAATGACCATAATATTGAAGATTCATCTTTATTAAAAGCAGGTAAATCGAACACAAAGTTCCAACATACCGAAAAAAGAAACAAGACAAAGTTCCACTGGTCAACCCAATTCTGATTTCCTCATACGGAAAACAGGAAAGCCAATATGAAGCCAGTACAGCAATCAAGAAATCCTAAAGAGGCAAAGTTTGGTACATCGGTGACAAATGAATTACAGTACTTTTTTAAATCAGCAGATGTAACCTTGCCTTTTCTAGCTAGAACATAGATTTCTCATTCGTAGAATTAGCCATGCAGAAAAAAAAAGGTCCAACTCACCAGGTAAAAGATGTATGAGGACGCTTACAAGTTTGTCAACAGAACTAAAAACTAAGCTACAACGCCAAACAATCAACGCCCATGCCAGTGGTCCCTGTAGTCACGCAGAAAAGGGATCCAAATATAAAGGAAGGGACCTGGGTTATCATGAAGATTGCTCACATAAAACAAGGTATTGTTTGCTTACCTCTGCGAATGAGAAGCAAACCATGAAAAGTTTTTCATTTCTCGGATAGAACAGAAGTTGAACCAAGAAGATCGTGTTGGCATAGTAACAAAAATCCTGTGTGGAACAAGAACCACATCATTTATTTCATTCTAATCTTGAAAGTACTAAAAAAACCAAGAAACAAAAGGTTAAAATTTATAATTTTGGTGATGAAAAACACCTATGTTGAAGAAAACTGAGGCTCAGAAGGGATAGTGTTAATAATAAAAGTGGCAATTGGTGTAGACAGTGTCAACCAAGCATGCACTGGACAACTATCCTATTTGATCTTTGTTTTGCCACAGGTAAACACTATCAAACCATTTACTGCAGCCCACTCCGTGACACCTATCCCCCAAAATAAAATAAAATAAAGGGGAAAAACCAAGAACAGGCTGCATGATCTAGATAAATGTCCAAAAACAGTATCTCCATAGGCCATAGCAAATCAGAAACCAAGATTTTGAGACCAGGACCCAGAAAATCAGCCATGAAAATAAAACCCCACTAAATTATTAAAAGTTAGGATTTGAGATAAATATACTAAAGCAAGAAAACAAATTTAGGAGATGTACTTGAGCTTACCAAAAGATAATAGTGCCATTTCTTATACCGGTAATAAATCCATCGAAGAGGAACGAAGGTGAAGAAGAACAAACAATAAACATATGGTATATCTTGTGGCCCTGATAAATAAAAAAACAACCAAACCAACAAATTAGCAAACACTTTGTAAAAAAGTGTTGATCTAAATGATAGCTTAATTCCATTAATCAAGAGTAAGATACTTACTTGCACCTAAAAGAAAGCAAAATGTCCCAAACCCCAGAACGCCCATAAAATGAGTCACCTATAAACAAACAAAAGCCCAATCAAAATAGAATAGAAGCTCATATAAAAATAGATTTAAAAAACTAACAAGTAACCAAATGGTCTAATGAACATACATATATGAAATCAAAACAATCAGATAAATAACAATCAAATAAATATACCTTGTTAATGAATCTTTCATGTTCCTCGGCTTGCTTAGCGATCTTATCGGCTTGTTTGGACAAAATTTGCTTTGTTTTCTCCTTTGTCTGTGCCACTTTCTAAATACCCAGATGGAAAAAACTATCACCCATCGTCACAAAATATTCTTCAGATTGAAGAACAATAAAAAAAAAAAAAAATTGTCTATTCATACCTCTGATCTATCTTTGAGCCTTTGCTTAACCGTCCCAAATGAATCCCCATTCGAATCCTCCATAGATTCTTCGTTGCTTGACATTTTTCTTAATCTTCAAGAACTCTATTCAAGAGAGAGAGAGAGAGAGAGAGATGGTGGCTTGGAAGAAAGGTGGTGGTGCTTGCCTTCGAATTTGTTGAGTATAGATATAAGCCTGTCACTGTTTCCTCAAATGACTATCGATTTAGGGGAAAGATACGGTATCCCCGAAAATTACAAGTAATAATTTTTTTTTTTTTTTTTTAATATGGGTGTAAGTTATAATTTTAAAGGATACCATTAATTATGAAAGATTAGGATCAAAAGTTTACGACCGAGATGTTGCTATAACGAAAAGTTAGTGAGATTCATTCCTTCCTTCCTCCCTTTCTTTATTAGTATGCTAGTTTTATCTTTTATCTAATAAATACTTAGATATTTTATTTCGTTATTTTTTAATAAATAATTATAAAAAAATTTAAACTAAAATTAACAACTTTAAATAAATTTGGATATAGTATTAAATCCATACCGAAACCTTATTCTTACTTCTTTACATACATATATACTAGATGTACATACATATCCTTCCATTTTCATGTAAATTCACTTTTTTACTCATTATTTTATAAGTTAACAAAAATATTATCAGAATTATTGGATTATAAAATTTGATATTTGAAAAAAAATTAAATAAGTGGTGGGTAGGTAGAGAGTTTATGAGAAGTTATTGGAGTCATTTGATATAATAAAATTGGAGGATAAAGAATTTAATAATTTAAAAATTTTAAATTCCCTCTCTTTAAAAATTTATTATTTTAAACAGATAGTATAGATTCCAATGTATAACATAAAATAACTTGCAAGATTATCCAAATCGTGTCTAAAAAGGGGCACGCAACTCTTCGATGTATGACAGACAGACAGACACTATCTACCATGCAAGACTATCCAAATCACGTCTAAAAAGGGGCTCTTTAATGAAACCAAATACAGCAGCTCATTGGGTCGCCATTGTTGTACTATCCACTTCTCTTATTGTGAATTAATTAAACTAGCTATCATCGTTAGAGTTTAAGGCTTTTTTTTTTTTTTTTTTTATGTCAAAAAATATTTCACTCATATCTAATTTATTTATTAATTTGTGTGTCTAACGATAACGAATCGTGTTATATTAAATTTGTATTATGTATAAATTACGTATAATCGATATATATGATTAATTTCACTCATAATCAATTCTTTTATTAAACTTAATCTTAGCCAAAAGGCCGAGAGGAAGTTATAATCTTTAATTTCTACTTATTAAAAATCATTAAATCTTATGCATGTTTTATTTTTCAAAGATTATTCCATACAAGTACAGTTAAGTTCGAATAATTCAATTTAATTAACAATCCTACTAAATAACCGATACAAGCTCAACACCCAATAAAATCCGTGGATGACAACATTGTAAATGCGTCGATTGTTCGGCGCAGCACGCAGCAGGAAATGCATTTAGTTGCAGAGGGAGGGAGGGATAATAAGGTTCTTTCTGGATAGTAAATTCCGTTCTTCAAGGAGCCTGCATTAAAATTTGATATGCATAGAGGTGAGGACTGGTCCTCATTCCTACCTAGCTTACCCTTTGACAGACCCAATGAGAATTCAAAGCTCACAAGTCCCAATCACTCCATAGATTTTTGAATTTTCACTGTTTTTGCAGACATATAGGATCACTTTTGCTTGAGGATTAAATGCATTGAAATTATTGAATTAGCGATCGATTTCAACGGGTAACAAAATTTATTATCAATCTAACACTAATAACTTACAAGACAATCCTTAAATATGTACAGATAACATTATTTTTTCAGATATTTCGTACTAGAAAAACATAAACAATGCATGATATTGGTATCAAGGTAAAGAGAGAAGAAATATGAGTAGAAAGTTTCAAAACGGTTTGGATATTTTAGTTTACTAGGTTGAGTCAATTGAGAGAGTCTAATATTGGGTATAACAGATTCACCACGTCATCATACTGACGTGGTGTAATTGTTCAATAATAAGATAATATGTGGACAAGTGGATAACTACCCATTTACGTCGTGTAGTAACTATTCCATGTGGGATCCACATGCCCACATCTTGTCTTATTACTAAACGATTTTATTGTGTCAGTATGATGACGTGGTGTAACTGTTACACCCAATATTTTCTCGAGAGAGTCACCCAAGCGGCCACTCTTATATACATATATATATATATATATATATACAAGTTGTAATCTGTGCCTAAATGAACAATATAACATAAAATATATTTTAAATTTAACAAATTTTATTTTCTTCTCATTTTATAGATAATTGTATTTCACAAGGTTAAGATATATTTTTTATGTAAAAATTTGCCACTCATTACTTTTGATGTTTATATCTTATGGGATTTATCGATCTTTGGTATTTGTCATTTCTTTCATTTATCAGCTACTAATTTGATCAATAGGAACTGTCCAATTTTGACCAACCATAATTTTGGGTGCAAATGTGAAAATCACTTTAATACATGGTTTTGGCCAAAATAATAATAATAATAATAATAATAATCATACTCTATACAATGCTCAAATAAAAGTGGAGAAATTTGGGACAAAGCCCAAAAATGCATAACCTAGTAGACCAAAAAACAGATAACTGCTAACTGCACACATAACTATGAAAGTAATGCATAGAAGATTGGGTGATCATTGCTGATACCTAACCTGGACATTGAATTGGAGGCGCAGGTGCACTGTCTGTAGTTAATACAGAAACTTCTAGCATCATTATCATCTTAACTCCTTCACCCTCAGCAGACTAGGGCAGGATGGAACAATCTCTATCAAACCCCCCCTCCCCCCCCCTCCTTTTCAAATATTGTAATGGCGGAAACTTTGTGCATTATATTGTCGTTTTTAATGCATGTACTTAGGTGAGTTTAACACCTTTTTCTTCAATAAGTGTTTAAAAATTGTCGACCCTAGAAAATGTTAACATTTAATATCAAGAGACAGAAGCAAGTGCTTATTTGCCCAAGCGATATGTTGTAAGTTCAACCAAGATAGATAATCAATTTCTCTTTAAAAGAGATAAAACTATTTACCACTTTTTTAAAATACAAGTAGAGACGAAGGTTTAATGTGTTACGCACGATTGATACTAGGTTAATATAAATGGATATAAACATTATTTGTAAGTATAAATGTATGTTGACCGGTGTATTTATGATGCTATATAGGCATTCATATGACAAACATCCATGTATATGTGCAAATGGACTTGCTCTAGTTAAGCTAAATGGGAATATGGATACAACCATCCAAGTGGCTACAATTGGGGGAAGGGCCAAAAGTAAGAAAGTACTAGCAAAATTTGGTAGGTTCTTAAAAAAGTAAGGGTAAATATTATAATTAGTCACTAAATTTTATTTTTGGTTTTAATTTGGTCATTAAATTTTTAATTATTTTAAATTTAGTTTCTCAACTATCAATTTCGTCTCAATTAAGTTCTTCCATAGTTATTTTTATCTTTAAATTAACTAGAGAATAGCCCAATCAGTTCCATTTTTAAACTTCAAATCATATATTTTTGTTTTAATTTAACGGTAAAAATAAACGAAAGAAATTAATTGGGACAAAATTAACAATTGATGGACTAAATTGAGATAATTAAAAGTTTAGGGGCCAAATTAAAATCAAAAATAAATTTTAAGGACCAACTATGATATTATCCAAAAAGTCCAACTATGATATTACCCAAAAAGTAATAAATCTTTTTTCTTTTCTTACTTATTGCAAGTACTTTTGATGAAAATGAAAGCAAAGAGGAAAAACAAAAAATATTTCAAACCTCCATTACCTAATGGTGGCTAATCTATAATTATCCGTTCTTTCCGAGCTCTCCCAACCGGCACATTGATAGGATTATCATTGTGGGGGATTTTACAAAATTTCACCAAAAAAACTACAAACAACGACGCAACAAGAAAATATATATAAATGCATAAAAGAGTTCTCTATGATTTCGAAAAAAATTCAATATCGTACCTCTATTTATTATAATTGTGGTTACTTCTATCATAGTTGTAGATGATTTTATCATTATTATGATACTGAAAAAAATGGTAAAAATAATTATCACAACGATAGTAAAAATGTTCAAAAGTGATAAAAATATTTATAAATATAGTAAATTATGACAAAAGTGGTAATTTTTTTTGTATCCAAAAAATTGATAAAAATAATTACTTAAAAAATAATAATTTTTTTAGCCGTAAAAGACCCACAAATATTATAAAAATACCAATTCAAATAATAAATTTTAGATATTAAATACGGACTTTTTTAGTCAGTACGGTAATCAAGTCCATGCACGCATAAAAATGTGCAGAAAAATAAGGTAATCAAAAGGATGATTAGGCAAACGACATGCTTTCAAGGAGCGTTGTTTGTCGGATAAAATTTTTCGATGTGTTAAATGTTGTGTATACAGTACTTTTTGACCTACATGGATGGCGTGTTATTTTTAATAATGCCATTGTTGAGAGATTAGATGATCACAATTATATATTTGTTTTTCAAAGTTCAAGAGTATTTGAATTATTTTACGTATATTTTTATTAAATTTTTTTTTCAATTTAATAAAAAACAAACTATCCACAAATAATTCATAGAACTGTAGAATAGTCACAGGCAGTCCAAATACACAATGCAGGACCTTGATTTAAAAATTTAAAGCATAAATATCACTCACACCCCCTGATATTTAGTTTTATTATATGGACACCCCTCACATTTTAAAAATTACACTAACACCTAGTAGATGGGAGGCGTTAATGGTATTAATGAAAAGACTATTTTACCCTTCTTTTAAATTACTCAAATCCATTTCTACATCCAAACCCATCGCCTATGCCAGCATCCATGGCTTGGAACCCTTTGTTGTGAAAACATCCATTTAAGAATGCTAAAAATCATACGATAAACAAGGCAAGAAAATTTATTGATAAAGGTGTGTAGTCAATATCTTTAAGAATAAATT